CTGCAGGTGTGGTAATGCGATTTACACGCATTGCTGCACCTGCATATATGTGAACCTAGCCTAAATCTCCCTGAGAAATGGTATTCCTCTTCATGTGATTAGTTTACTGCCAACTTTCCTAGCCATTTTTGTCTTACTACAACACTGGGGATGATCATACAAGGAGGTAGAATTATATATTGACATTTACTAAAATTCTTACAATCTTTACAATTACTGACATGTTCTGTAACTTATCAAAAGCATAGGTGTACTTTAACTACTTCGCCTCTTTCTTCATGCCTGGTATCTCCCAAGGGTGAACTGTTTAACCTCCTTAGCGGTATTCCCGAGTGTAGCTCGGGGTAAAATTTCTATACCAAGAGCGGTAACCCTGAGCTACACTCGGGCTTACCATGCAGCGTTGCTCAGGGGGTCCCTGCAGCACTTATCTTGTCCTTCGCTCCCGCAATGTGTTCCCTGCAGCGTCCCCGGCCATCTCGTCCGGACGATGCCGGCATCCGGCTTCTGTGTTCCGGTCCCTGTGACGTCGGGACGTACGGGCGCCGGAACCGGCGGGAAATTTGAAATTTTTAAACAAAGTCATTTTTGCTGTCATTGCTGTTTCAATGCATTTCACATATATTTTGTCCCTACTGCTTTGTCCTGCGCCCTGCCTGCATTTTGAATGTTCTTTCTGCCTGGAAACTTAGAAAAGTCCATAGCGTCCAAAAAGCGTCCCTTTACGTCAAAAGCGGTTTTAGAACAGCGATAGTAAATCAGAACCACTTGCAGAATTGAGTGATAATGATTCGTGGGGAAATTCGTCATCAGACACTGAAAACGATTTTGCGACTTTGCTCAGCGATGTGCGAATTTGCCTCTGTATTTCAAATTTCAGTGTTTTTGGTTTGATTACATTATTGAATTAAATTTATTATTATTATATTATTATTTTTTATGATTATTTATTAAATTATAATTTATGATTTCGTGTTTCAAATTTGATCATATCCGGAATGTTTAATAGACTCTTGTTCGTACAGATTTCAGTGAGTTATTCCTAAAAATTACAGCCTACAATAAATAACTACATATTTCCATGCAAAAAAATGGTACGCTTTCAGCACAAAAAATCGGAAAGAATCAAACCGCCAAGGAGGTTAAAACAAGCTCATGGTTGCAGTAGTAGCTGTGAGCCTGATTTATTTTTTATCAGTGGGCTCTGGGCTCATAGGTAAAAGTGATCTGGGCAGCTGTGGAGCCACCGAATCACGTTTACCTGACCAATGAGTGCTGGCTCATTTTGGTTTGGTGCCGAGGGCGCAGCCCTGAAGTCTTGGGAGGAGAGACTGGCCAAGATGCGCCAAAAGTTTGGACTCTGGAGCCTCAGAGACCTCACCATCGAAGGGAAGACACTGGTACTCCGCAGCGAGATTCTCCCTGTGTTGCAGTACCTCGCCCAGGCCTGGCCCCCTCGGGTCAACACCTGTAAGGCCATCACCAGGGCGGTGTTTCACTTCATCTGGGGCTCCAAGATGGACAGAGTGAAGCGGGCAGTCATGTTCAAGGAACCCCTCAAGGGCGGTAAGGGCGTGCCCGACATCGCCACCCAGCTGAGGGTGTTCTTTGCTTGCAACTGCATCCGCAGAACTTTGCCAAGACGGATTATGGACTCTGGCGGGAACGCAATGTCTCGCTTCTTCCTGTTGCCTCTCTGGAGGTCCATGGGGTGGGACACTTGGGATAGTTCCATCCCCTACAACTGGGACACTCCTTGGTACTACTTGGATACTTTCAAGTTCATCAGGGAGCAAGGGCTACAGGGAGTCAAGCCTGACTTGTGGAAGCCAAAGACTATCTACAAGCTCATCCGAGCCAGCGACATTTTGGAGTCGGTTCCAGGCCTGCCTTCGGACACCTGCAAGGTGGTCTGGAGGAATGTTTCCTCAAACATCCTCACCAACAGGCACAAAGACCTGGCATGGATGGCTATCCAGGGGGGACTGCCTCTCAGGACATTTATGCATGCCAGGAACCTGAGCAGATACAGACACTGCCCCTTCTGCATCATCCATGAGGAAACGTCTTACCACGTTTTCTGGGAGTGCTCATTTGCTCAGGCCCTGTTGGGAGCCCTGGAACCTGAACTCAAGGACTTTGTGCCACAGACAGCCATCACTCACTTTGGGGTGCTGAATGGACTGTTCTGTGGAACCTTTTCTCTGGAGGACATTGACAGCGCCTGGCGGGTGCTGTGCTGTTTTAAGGACGCTTTATGGTGTGCCAGAAAGCGCCTCACCCTCCAGCGGGAGAGGATGTCCATTGAGGACTGCCGCAGACTGACCCTCAGTCTGCTCAGAGACTATTCCTTGATGGACTTTAAGGAGGAAGAGGACGTCTGAAGATTTCCCCCTTCCCCCTACTCCCCCTTGCGTGTCTTTGTCCCTTCAATAAAGCTTCGGGCCTGTGTTTCCCCCCTTCCTCCCCCTTCCCCCCCCCCCCCCACACACCCGATGCCTAGTGTTGATCGTGTTTTTTCAGTTATCGTTATAGTGCATGACATAGTGACTAGGAAATGTATATTGTATTAGGATGCTACAGTTTTTGGGGTAAGCGGCGTCATGCATGACGTGGTGGTCCGGGGGATTCATTCTCCGTGCACATCACGTCAGGCATCATACCGCTGAGCGAATGTATTTATTTGCCTGACTGTATTTATCGTATGCTTGGAACTGTATTGCTATGTGGTGCGCTGCGTCGCAGTACAGGGTGAGATGTACCCCGATTACACGTAACATGTTGTTTTTGATGCTTCTGCAATAAAAGTATCTTTTCAATCAAAAATGAGTGCTGGCTCCCCCTCGCTGTCCCCTCTGGTGGTTCCCAGGCTCTTCAGTTCCTCCCGGGAGCTCGCGGACCACAATAATTAACAATAAGATGGAAAGTGTGAGGAGATCAGGGAGCATCCATTCCCCAATCTCTGCAGTCAATCAAAAGTGCTCAACTCTAACCACTTGCAGTTCAGAGTTGTCAAAATCCTGGCTAGAAAGACAGGTGCACAGCTGATCAAGTACAATCATACAGTGCCTTGAAAAAGTATTCATACCCCTTGAAATTTTCCACATTATGTCATGTTACAACCAAAAACATAAATGTATTTTATTGGGATTTTTTGTGATAGACCAACACAAAATGTCACATAATTGTGAAGTGGAAGGAAAATGATAAATGGTTTTCAAACTTTTTTACAAATAAATATGGGAAAAGTGTGGCGTATAATTGTATTCAGCCCCCCCCGTCCCCGTCAATACGTTTACTTTGTAGAACCTCCTTTCACTGCAATTGCAGCTGCAAGTCTTTTTGGGGATGTCTCTACCAGATTTGCACATCTAGAGACTAACATTTTTGCCTATTCTTCTTTGCAAAATAGCTCAAGCTCTGTCACATTGGATGGAGAGCGTCTGTGAACAGCAATTTTCAAGTCTTGCCAGAGATTCTTAATTGGATTTAGGTCTGGACTGTGACTGGGCTATTCATGAATATGCTGCAATCTAGACCATTCCATTGTAGCTCTGGCTGTATGGTTAGGATCATTGTCCTGCTGGAAGGTGAACCTCCACCCCAGTCTCAAGTCCTTTGCAAACTCTAACAGGTTTTCTTCTAAGATTGCCCTGTATTTGGCTCCATCCATCTTCCCATCAACTCTGACCAGCTTCCCTGTCCCTGCTAAAGAAAAGCATCCCCACAACATGATGTTGTCACCACCATGATTCAGGATGGTGATGGTGTGTTCAGGGTGATGTGCAGTGTTAGTTTTGCCACACATAGTGTTTTGCTTTTAAGCCAAAAAGTTCAATTTTGGTCTCATCTGACCAGAGCACCTTCTTCCACATGTTTGCTGTTTCCCCCACATGGCTTCTCGCAAACTGCAAACAGGACTTCTTATGGCTTTGTTTCAACAAAGGCTTTCTTCTTGCCGCTCTTCCATAAAGGCCAGATTTGTGAAGTGCACGACTAATAGTTGTCCTGTGGACAGAGTCTCCCACCTGAGCTGTGAATCTGTCAGGGATGCCGGTGTGACCAGAAGTGTGTGGACTGACACAGGGAAACGCAAGCTTCAGATATGGTATAAATAAGACAATTTATTAAAGACTAACAATACAAACATAAACGCTGTGCACCAAACCCCAAGCTAACACAAATACATACAACAAGGTGAAACAAAACCCAAACCTAAACTGATACAGATACACAGGTACATACACATAAAGAGCACAACGTAGTCAGGCAGGCCAGGTCGATAAGGTAGGTACAGGAGAAGCAGGCGGAGAGAATGGTCAGGGTCACAAGCCAGGGATCAAAACAGGAGAAGTCAGCAGAGGTCAGGATCAGGCAGGGTCGGCAACAAGTCAGGCAGAAACAGGGAACAGGAATGCAGGTTACAAGGTACAGGGGCCCATGGAAAAACACACACCCTTAAATACACCTGCAATCAGCTCCAGGTGATGGCTAATTGCCAAAGTGAAACCTCTTGGTTGTTGAGAGCACCCGCTGTCCAGCCCTGGTACTGCAGCCCACAAGGCAGGTGAGTCCCACCACTATTGGCAAGTTTTTCCATTACTGATAGTACCCCCCCCTCAAGGAGCGACCTCAGGAAGCTCCAAACAGTCCTAGCTGGGCAAAATGTTCCACCGCCTGGGTCCGGTGACTGGCGGGATATTAAAGACTGGCACATCGGGCTGGGCACCGGACGGAGGCACTTCGAGCTGGGCACCGGACGGAGGCACTTCTAGCTGGGCACCGGACGGAGGCACTTCGAGCTGGGCACCGGACGGAGGCACTTCGAGCTGGACGCCGGACGGAGGCACTTCGAGCTGGGTGCCGGACGGACGCACTTCGGGCTGGGCACCCGGATGGAGGCACATCAGGTTGGACGCCGGATCACCAGGCGGAGCAGCGGGCACCGGGCCACAAGGCGGAGCAGCAGGCACCGGGCCCCCAGGCAGGGCGGCGGGCACCGGGCCAACCAGGCAGGGCGGCGGGCACCGGGCCACCAGGCGGAGCAGCGGGCCTCCAGGCAGGGTGGCGGGCACCGGGCCACCAGGCAGAGCAGCAAGCACCGGGCCCCCAGGCGGAGCGGCAGGCACCGGGCCACCAGGCAGGGCGGCAGGCACCGGGCCATCTGGCTCGACAGCGGGCATCAGGTCACCAGGTACAACAGCGGGCACCGGGTCATCAGACATTGGATCGTCTTGCTCGACCGCGGGCACCAGGTCATCTGGCTCAACAGCGGGCATTGGGGTCACCAGGCACGACAGCGGGCATTGGGTCACCAGGCATCACAGTGGGCACTGGGTCATCAGGCATTGGATCGTCTGGCAAGACTGCGGGCACCGATTCATCTGGCAAGACCGTGGGCACCGAGTCATCTGGCAAGACCGCGGGCTCCGAGTCATCTGGCAAGACCGCGGGCTCCGAGTCATCTGGCAAGACCAGGGGCCCCGAGTCACCAGGCACAACAGCGGGCTCTGAGTCAACCAGGCCGACAGCGGGCACCCGAGTCGTCTGGCAAGACTGCGGGCACCGAGTCGTCTGGCAAGACTGCGGGCACCGAGTCAACTGGCGGAACTGCGGGCACCAAGTCGTCTGGCAAGACTGCGGGCATCGAGTCGTCTGGCAAGACTGCGGGCATCGAGTCGTCTGGCAAGACTGCGGGCTCCGAGTCAACTGGCGGAAACAGCGGGCATCGAGTCGTCTGGCAAGACTGCGTGTACCGAGTCATCTGGCAAGACTGCGTGCACCGAGTCCGTCTGGCAAGACTGCGGGCATCGAGTTGTCTGGCAAGACTGCAGGCATCAAGTCAACTGGCGTAACAGCGGGCATCGAGTCGTCTGGCAAGACTGCGGGCACCGAGTTGTCTGGCAAGACTGCGGGCACTGAGTCAACTGGTGAAACAGCGGGCATCAAGTCAACTGGCAAGACTGTGGGTACCAAGTCGTCTGGCAAGACTGCGGGCTCTGAGTCAACTGGCAAGACAGCGGGCACCGAGTCATCTGGCGGAACAGCGGGCATCGAGTCATCTGGCATAATAGGATCAGAGTCGTCTGGCAAGACTGCGGGCTCTGAGTCAACTGGCAAGACAGCGGGCATCGAGTCATCTGGCATAATAGGATCATCAGGCTGGATCAGTTCATCAAGCTGGGTAGAAAACATCATGCTGGGTAGAGACATCAGGCTGAATGGAGGCATCAGGCTGAATGGAGACATCAGGCTGAATAGAGACATCATGCTGGGTAGAGGCATCAGGCTGGGTAAAGACATCAGGCTGAATTGTGGGCGCCGAGGCACCAGGCTGCACCAGGGAAGGCAGGTTCTCAGATGGGGCTGACGGTTTGGATACTGGCAGGATGGTATTGGTTGGAAAGAACTTTCGCCTTTTTCCTGTCTTAGTTACCGGAGCACTGTAAGTAAGCGCAGGTTTGTAAACGGATGGAGCAGCTGGAGACAGAGAAGAGCTGGAGGATGGAACAGAGGAGGGAGCAGTTGCTACAGAGACTTCTTTACAGGGTTGAAGAAAGGATAGGTGCAGCGAGTGGGAGCAGGGGACTGGTATGTGGTAGTTAGCAGAGTATACTGGGCCATCACTGGTGGTGCTGTCGGGGATGCAGGAAGAGTGCCTTGAGCAGTGAGGAATGATGTTGCAAGCCAACTGAGGCTGGGTGTAACAAATCTGTCCATGTCTGCAGTACTGGTTTAACAAAACTCAGCTTACACCTAGCCTGTCTGATCAAAGACTGCACTGCGTTTATGCAATCCATAAGCACATGTGATGGACATGCTGCATAGTGCTCATGGAAACAATCTGGATTATCCTCCAACAAACATACCAGTGATTCCACTTGATCCACACTAAATGGGGGAAAAAAGTCATCCCTTGCTTTCATGGGGTACAGGACTGAGCCAACTCAGCACAAAACCTGGATCAATGGCTGTACCTCAGAAAACTCTGTGCCCTGATCAACTAGACAATGAGCGATCCTTATACACTCTAGCAGTTGATCCCGAGTATACTCCTTAAGAGTCTGATAAGCATAGTCTTTGTCATCAAACACTAGCAGAGATAAATACACCACCTCATCAAGATCCATCCTTCCCAGCAACAATAAGCCAAGATGGCCTCCATGTGCAGCCACTTCTGGTCAGGTTTGTGGCCTTGGTGTAATGTCAGGGATGCGGGTGTGACCAGAAGTGTGTGGACTGACACAGGGAAACGCAGGCTTCAGATATGGTATAAATAAGACAATTTATTAAAGACTAACAATACAAACATAAACGCAGTTCACCAAACCCCAAGCTAACACAAATACATACAACAAGGTGAAACAAACCCAAACCTAAACTGATACAGATACACAGGTACATACACATAAAGAGCACAACCTAGACAGGCAGGCCGGGTCGATAAACTATCGGGCAGGTAGGTACAGGAGGAGCAGGCAGAGAGAATGGTCAGGGTCACAAGCCAGGGATCAAAACAGGAGAAGTCAGCAGAGGTCAGGATCAGGCAGGGCCCCCTTATGTATTATTATGTAGTTTTTTTATTGTAGGCTGTAATTTTTAGGAATAACTCACTGAAATCTGTCCATACAAGAGTCTAGTAAACATCCGGGTATGTTAAAATTTGAAACACGAAATCATAAATTATAATTTAATAAATAATCATAAAAAATAATAATATAATAATACATTTAATTCAATAATATAATCAAACCAAAAACACTGAAATTTGAAATATAGCGCCAAGTTCACACATCGCTGAGCAAAGTCGCAAAATCTTTTTCAGTGTCTGATGACAAATTTCCCCACGAATCATTCACTCAATTCTGCAAGTAGTTCTAATTTACTGTCGCTGTTCTCTAGCTGATCTAAAACCGCTTTTGACATAAAGGGATGCTTTTTGGACGCCCTGGACGTTTCTCAGTTTCCAGGCAGAAAGAACAGTAAAAGTGCAGGCAGGGCACAGGACAAAGCACTCGGAACAAAATGTATGTGAAATGGTTTGATACAGTAATGTTATACTGTGTGGATTTTAGTGTATTTAGTGAACGTCACTTTTTGACATGTTAAAATTTCCCGCCAGTTCTGTCCCCGTACGTCCTGACGTCGCAGGGAACGGAACCCGGAAGACAGATGCCTGTAATCGGCCGGAGGACATTGCCGGTGACGCTGCAGGGGGGACATCGCGGGAGCGCAGGACAAGGTAAGTGCAGAAGGGATCCCGGAGCAGCGCTGCAGGGTATTCCCGAGTGTAGCTCGGGGATTACCGCTTGTGGTGCTGAAACTTTACCCCGAGCTGCACTCGGGAATACTGCTAGGGAGGTTAATGCTCTCCTTGCCTGGCCTGTCAGTTTAGGTGGACGGCCATTTCTTAGTAGGTTTGCAGTTGTGCCATACTCTTTCTATTTTTGGATTATGGATTGAACAGTGCTCCATCAGTTGTTTAAAGCTTGGGATATTTTATCATAGCCTAACCCTGCTATAAACTTATCAACAACTTTATCCCTGACCTATCTGGTGTGTTCCTTGGCCTTCATGATGCTGTTTGTTCACTAATGTTCTCTAACAAACCTCTGAGGGCTTCACAGAACATACTGAGATTAAATTACACACAGGTGGACTCTATTTACTAATTAGGGGACTTCTGAAGGCAATTGGTTCCACTAGATTTTAGTTAGGGGTATCAGAGTAAAGGGGGCTGAATACAAATGCATGCCACACTTTTTAGAAATGTATTTGTAAAAAATTGTGGAAAACCATTTAGAATTTTCCTTCCACTTCACAATTATGTGCCACTTTGTGTGGTCTATCACATAAAATCCCAATAAAATAAATTTACGTTTTTGGTTGTAACATGACAAAATGTGGAAAATTTCAATGGGTATGAATACTTTTTCAAGGCACTGTATGCTCGGTCGGTTGGAGCAGAGGGCAGAGGAAACATTGGGGATCTAATAGACCTCTAATGTCTCCATAAAGAGTACCTGTCACCTGCCCAATGCTATCACATAAGGGCTTGTTATCCCTCTTATGATAGCAGTAAAGTTAAAAGAAAAAAAATATATAAAAAAGTTAAACAAATATAATTAGAAGAATACATTAAATTAAAACTATAAAAAAATGTAAAGCTCCTTCTCCTTGTGCACACCCACAAATGCAAACTGGTAAGTAAACAATGATTACACCATACATGTTATGCATGTCTAACTCTTAGAGCAATAATTCTAGGGCCATCATTTATGGTTTACTCTAAACTCATGAGCTTTAAAGACATTTAAAGTGCTGAATTTTAATAATTTTGGGTACTTTAATTGCTCACCATTTAACAGACACACACAGTTTTGAGGCCTGTCACTATTTGTTTAATCTACACTACTTTTGTACAAAAAATGGGGATTAAATTGTGTTTGTGTCCAATAAAATTCATTTTAGTGTTTTTTTTCCCCTAAAAAAAATATATCTTGCAACATAAAAAAATACAACTGCTATCTTTGTATTCTACAGGACCTTTGCTTTCAGATTATAAATAATGTTTTAAGTATTTTTAAAGCCAAAAATGCAGATTTTACAACGTGTGCGGAAAATAAAACAATTGTTCTAGTGGCAAAGTGGTTAAATGGGAATTAACCACTTCCCGACCGCCCTATAGCAGATATACTTCTACAGGGTGGCATGGGTACAGAAAATATATATATATATACCACACACCATTTGTGACACGGCTGTCAATCACCGGGTCCCGGATGGTGATTACTTGCTGGCACCTGGTGATTGCCGAGCATCTCCGATGGGGAGGAGAACTGTATGTAAACAATACTGTTCTCCTCCCTGTCAGCTCCTGCACACTGCTTTGGATGGCTGTGCACAGCACAGCCATACCAAACAGTATGATTACAGTGAAGCACACACAGCTTACAGTGAAACAGCACACAGTTAACCCTTTCATCGCCCCTCATGTTAACCCCTTCCTGCCCAGTGCCATTAGTACAGTGTCAGTGCTTTTTTTTTTTAGCACTGATCACTGTATTGATGTCACTAGGATGTCAATGACACCAAGTCAATTCCCCCCAGTTTCAGAATGCCTGCCGCAGTCCCGCTATAAGTCACTGATCGCAGCCATTACTAGTGAAAAAAAAAAAAAATTCCAGTATCTATATTGCCATTTGTAAACGTTATAACTTTTACGTAAACCAATTAATTTACACGTATTGGAATTTTTTTCAGCAAAGCCATGTAGCAGAATACATTTTGGCCTACATTTATGACGAAATTCGATTTTTTTTGTTTTTTTTTACTGGACATGTTTAATAGCAAAAAG